AAGACAACAACAAAAACACTGAAAGTAGTCAGAGAAAAAAAATAAGGTGTTACTTAGAGGGGAACAATGACTCAAGTGCTTGCAGATTTCCCATTGGAACAACGGAGGTTAAAAGGAAGTAGAATAATATTTTTTAACAGCTGAAAGAAAAACAATGTATATTCTACATTCAACAAAAAATATCTTTCGGTACTGAAGGTGAAGTAAAACTATTCCCAAGTAAAGTAAAACTAAGGGAATACACTGCTAGCAGACCTCTTCTAAAAGAATTGCCAAAGTAAGTTTTACAGATAGAAGGGAAATGATACCAAAAGGAAACATGTATTATTAAGAATTAAGGAAACAGAAGTGGTAAATATTTGGGTAAACATAATAGATTATTATTCTCTTAAATTCTTAAAATATGTTTGAGAGTAAAAAGTACAAATTGTAATGTCTGCTAGAGTTTTTAATATATTAAATGTAATACATAAAACTGCAATATAAAGGGACCTATATGATGGAAAGATTAATACATTTCACTAAAAATGGTAAAATTTTTGTTGCGTATAAGTAGTCTGGGAAGTTAAGTATATAAATATTGTAAGCCCTAGAGCAACAATTAAAATACTATATAGAGAAATATAGTAGAATTCACAACATGTTGAACTGGAATTCTAAAAAAAAGTTTAAATAATCTAATAGAAAACAGGGAAAGGGGAAGAGAGGGAGGAAAATCAGAGGGAACAAATAGAAAACAAATAAAATAGTTGACATAAACTCAAAATATAAATAATTACACTATATGTAAGTGGTCTAAACACACCAAGTAAAAGATAGAAATTGTGAGAATGGATCAAAAAACATTCTCAACTCCATACTTTTTTAAAGAAATCAATTTCAACTGTAAAGACACAGGTAGGCTAAAAGTAAAATAATAGAAAATATATACTGTACAAACACTAGTAAGTTGAAAACTGGAGTGGCCATATTAATATGAGACAAAGTAGACTTCAGTGCAAAGAAAATTACCAGCAAAAACTACTGAATTATGTAATGATAAAGGGGTCAATTCAAGAAAATCAAACCAAACAAAAAATATGTTTGCTGCTAACAACAGAGCTTCAAAATACATGAAGCAAAAACTGGCAGAACTGAAAGGCAACATAAACAAATAAGCAATGATAGTTGGAGACTTCAGTGTTTCTCAGTAATTGGTTGAACTAGTAGACAGAAAATCACCAAGAATAGAAGAGAGAACCGAACAGCATTATCAACCAGCTGGATCTAATAGACACGTTGAAAACCCCATGTAATAACAAGAGAACACTTATTCTTTTCAAATGCGTATAAAGCATTCGCTAAAATATATCATATCCTGGGTCATAAACAAACCTTAACAAATACAAAGTAATTGAAAGCATGCAAAGAATATTCTGTGACAGAAATAGAATTAAGTTAGAAATCAAAGACAGAATGATAGTAGGAAAATCTCCAAACACTTTTAAATTAAATGAAACACTTTTATGGGTCAAAGAGGAAAGTTTTAAGGACAATTAGAAAATACTTTGAACTGAATGGGAGTGAAAATGCAAGATAGCAAAATTCTGGATACTGCTAAGTCAGTGTTTTTAGGAAAATTTATAACATTAAATATTTGTATTAGAAAAAAAAAGTTCTGAAATCGATAATCTAAGCTCCCATGCTGAGAATCTAGAAAGGGATGAGCAAAATAAACCAAAAGCAAGCAGAAGGAAAGAAATAAAGAAGAAAAGAGAAAATGAAACTGAAAACAGAAAAATTATGGAGAAAATAAACCAAAAGCTAGTTATTTGGAAAGATCAGTAATATTGATAAACCTCTAGCAAGACTCAGAAAAAAAAAAAAATGAGAGAAGACACAAATTGCCAGTATTAAGAATAAAAGAGGGGCTTGATTATGGTGATCATTTCATAATATATAGGTATATCAAAACATCAAAGTATACCCTTAAATATATATGAGTTTTGTTTGTCAGTTATACCTCAATAAAGTTTTTTTTTAAAGAATGAAACAGAGTATCACTAGAGGCCCTGAAAGCATTAAAAGAATAATAAAGTACGACTATGAAAACCATGCATATAAATTCAACAGTTTAGATGAAATAGATGAATTCTTTAAAAACCATGAACTGCCAAAATCATGCAAAACTGAAATAAGATAACTTGAAAAATCCTGTGAGTGTTGCAGAAATTGAACTTGTTAAAAGTCTTCCAAAGAAGAAATCTTTAGGGCCAGATGGTTTCATTGGCAATTCTACCAAACATTTGAAGACGACAAAGCCTCAGCATCAGCCTTGGGTCTGGGTTTCAGGGGAAGGAGATTGCAGGTCCTTGACTCTCCCCTGGACTATCCCCGTTAGGCTCCTGGTTTCGCCCCCTACCTCCCGACACCAGCGCTCCAGGGCCCTGCCCTCTTAGAGGGTTACAGGCCATAGTACTTGTCAGTTAGTAGCTCGTTCCTGTAAACCTCTTACGTGTTTGGGCCTGTGAAGGATACGCAGGTGAACCTGACTGGATCCTTAACTCTGAGAATTTATGGGGAAGATAGACAGGTTGGCAAATTAAACCTACTCATGTTCTTCGCAGTGAAAAATCTCTCAGAGAACCAGCTGGGTTCACCGCTGCTCACATAATTTTCATTCTTAAGAATGCATGACATTCCTTCTCCAATCCCCACACAGTTCCAGACGTAGACACACACACCCTATAGCGCTTAGAGAGCTCAGCCACCGTGGAAGTGCACGGGAAGGGTTCAGCCATTTGCTGTATAGTTTTTGTTGATGGGCTCTAACCTTGGGCTTGTGCTGGCCCTCTTCAGAGGGGACAAATTCCAGATTAGCCCGTGACACACGCGTGAAACCAATAGGTACCACACAGAATGAGGGATGATGGTGGGGTTAGGTCCATTTGCCATGGGTGCATAGGGGAGAAAGCCACTACTGTTTTTTGGAGGGGTGGAGAAGGGAACTCAGAGGTCTTCAAAGAACAGAAGAAACTTGAGTGAGATGTTCAAGAATGAGGAGGCCTCCAGGTACTAAGACGGCTGAGGATGTCCAGCAGAGAAAAAATACACAAAGTGGTTATAAAATAGTGCAGCAGTCAGCACCATAAGTTAGTTTTGTTGGGTGGAGGAGCCTGTGAGTTGAGCCTGGAGAGAGAGATCTAGGACCCTTGCTGAAGGATGGGCTTCATTGATCACACATGGTTTTATTTACTTATTTTCATTTGTAATTGAATTTTGTTGAATGTGTCATATGCAAATGATAAAAAATTGTAAAAATACAAAAGGTATATGGAGACTATTGCCTTTCTGAATTCCCTACCCCCACCACTCGGTTCCTCTTCCTGAAGTCAGTTGCTGGAACTGGCCTTGTGGGTATCCTCCCAGAACTATTTTCTGTCCATTTACAAATCTGTGTGTGTCTCTGTATTTTCCACACAAAGGTTGCATATTATGTCTTCTACCCCATACCCTGCTTTTTTGGTTGGATTTGGTACACCCATATTTTTAAAAATTTATTTGGAATATGGGTCTACCAAAATTATTGAATCAGTTCTGTAGTGAAGAAATTTAGGTGATTTCTGGTCTTCTGCTGTTATAAAGTATGCTGCAGTGAATGTCCTACATCCTTGTGTATAAGTCCATTTGCACAAAAAAGTATCAAGGGGTAAATTCCTAGAAACGGAATCGTTGGGTCAGAGAATACAAATATTTTTAGTTCTCGTAGATAATCCAAATTGGCTATGTTGATACCTGTTTCCCCACGCCCTAGGCGACAGGGAGTGTTCTTAAAAGTTTTTGCTCTTTTAGGATAGGGCTTTTGGGTTTATCCTGTAAGTGATGGTAAACCACTGAGAGGTTTTTAAGTAAGGGAGTGTCAGTCAGATTTGTGTTTAGGAAAGACCATTTGTGCTGCAGTGAGGGCAAGAGTTTAGCAGCAGCAAAGAACAGAGTTGTGGATACCGATGAGGAGGCTTTCCAGTAGTCCAGGCGAGATAGAGTTTTTGCCAGCTTGGTTTAGGTAGTTGGTAGTGGAGACAGAAGGGAATGGATACTGAGATACTGAGAAGTAGGTTCAATAGGACTCAGGGACTGGTCAGGCTGGGGCAGGGGAGGAAGGAAAATAGCTTTAACCAGAAGTTCTGTTCTCGTAAATTTTGTGTGCAAAGTCAGAATTTTCTTTGTAAATTTATAGATCTCATGTCTGTATTAGTATTTCCTAATCCTAGAATACCAGAAGGTAAAAGAGGGTCCTAATACATTAGTAATTGCTGTTTATTGGCTTCAAGGAGTTCTTATCTGGTTGTACCTTACTGGTTGTCAGAGAAGTTGGATGAACATTTTTATTAAAATTCTTTGGTCAGTCACACTTAACTTTGATGGTTTCTGAGAGTCACCAAACTCTTTTATTTTTCCCATATTCATACCATTCATTCAAAATTCCATATTCAGTAAAGTGGCTTCAAATTCTATACTTAATTTAGATAATAGTTTAATTGTATGTATTTTAAAGTCTTTCATTATATGTTCTGTTTGCTTTGGTTTTGTGTGTGGGTCTTCTGATACTTAGAAATCTTTGTAGGTAATAATTTATAAGTTAAATTTTATGTAATGCCATTAATTATTTTATCTGTCCCTGAGGATACTCTCGTCCAGACGGCAGGGGGAGGAGGGCTGGATTGACGTGTGAGCAGGCTCTTTCAGGGAAGGAGGGTTTCTTCAGGGAGAGAGACAAGGGCCAGAGCTAGACCTGGATGCCGGGTATTCCCTGGTCTAGATTCTGGGCTCAGGGACCAGGGTGGGTGGGCTTGGGACTTTGTCACATGTCCTTTGCTTCCCAAACCCTAGCAGTCCTGAGAAACCAGGTGGCAGGAGTCCCATCAGGGCAGTTCTGGTGAGATCAGAGGAGGCTGGGGTGCCACATCGGAAAGGTCCTCGGTCCATGTGGTTAAGCTCTTGCTTTTATCATGTGTTCTCAGGTCCCGGAGTCCCAGGCAACCGTGGCTCCCACCGCGCCAGCCAACAACAGTTCCGAGGTGGGCTCCGCTGGCTGCAGCATGTCAGGGAGTCAGGGCGCCGCTGAGCCCATGGATACAGAAAGCCAGAGGGACAGGAGGACGCCGGCTGACCAGAAGGCTGGGAGCAGGAGGCGCCCAGAGGCGGATGGGAAGGTGCAGGCGGATGGGAGGGCGCCGGGGGACAGAGCGCAAACTACGTGGAGGACGCAGGCAGACAGGGAGACTCAGGAGGGCACTGCGACCCGAGGGAGTGAGAGGCCAGAGTCAGGCGGGAGCCCCCAGCAGGCTGCGGCGGTACCCGGAGGGGCTGGGACACAGCCGTCGGGGAGCTTGCCCACAGCCTTAGAAGGTCCGTCGGAGAAGCCCGCGACCAGCCACCGCCCATCGTCCAGAGCGCCTGAGCGCCCGCCTGCCGAGGGTCCCAGGTCTCCGCCGATCACTGAGTGTCCTGAGCGGGCCCCAGAAGGGCCCCCTGCCCCAGAAGAGCGTGGTCCCATGCTCAGGTCTGAGAGGGCCGCCTCCAGGCGCTCTGAGGAAGCCCCGCCGGGCCCCCTGGCAGGGAGCCTCCCGCTCTCGGCACAGCGGCCTCCAGAGGGGAGTCTGGAAAAGATGGGAGGAGAGAGCCGTCGGGGGCTAGAGTGGTCAGGTCCAGTCGAGGACAAGCCAGAGGGCGGCCCGTTCCAGCGCCCGAGGGAGGAGCGGCCGGCGGCAGTGCCGTCTGCGGATCTGGGCGGCTGTCCTCCGGCCGGCCTGCGCCCAGAGGCGCCCACCCTGCCCTCTTCTCCTGGGACCCGCCTGACCCCCAGCTCACGGGAGGGGCCGCCCAGCCCTCCCACTGCTCAGCACAGGAGCGCGGCTGCCTTCCTGCCCTCTGGGGACCAGGCCTTGCCGAGTGCTGCCAGGCCCCTGCCCCTGGGGCCTGGGACCCACCCCCAGCGTCACCCACCGGAAAGCATGGCAGCCAGCAGTGAGGGCGCCTGTGCCGAGGTGCCGGGCGTGGAAGGGAGGAGTCCAGGCCCCCGGAGCTGTGACCCCGGCCTCATCGACTCCCTGAAGAACTACTTGCTTCTGCTGCTGAAACTATCCAGCCCGGATTCCCAGGAGGAAGCTGCCACCGGGGGTCTGGCCCCCTCGCCCACTCTGCTCCCCTCTGTGGAAGTGGCTGGGCTGAGTCCCCGGACATCGAGGCGCATCCTGGAGCATGTGGAGAACGACCACCTGGTGCGGAGCGCACAGACCCTGCTGCTGAGCCCCTGCACCTCCCGCCGCCTCACAGGTCTCCTGGACAGGGAGGTGCAGGCCGGCCGCCAGGCCCTGGCTGCTGCCCGGGCCCCTGGCCCCAGTGCCCTCACTGTCCCTGCCATAGTGGTGGGTGAGGAGGAAGGCCCTGGGCTGCCCTCAGAAGGGTCCAGTGAGGGTGAAGGTGAAGGCTCCTTTGGGACCTCCCAGGAGAGCAGCTTGGGTGGCCCGCTGCTGGAGGAGGGTGGGCAGGCAGCCTCCGGTCAGGGAGCCTTCTCAGCGGACAGTGGAGTCCAGGAGCCCTTTCAAGGGGACGAGCCCCCAGGGGAGGCTCTGGCAGGTCTCCCCGCAGCTACACCCGAGGAACTGGCCCTGGGAGCGCGGAGGAAGAGATTTCTCCCTAAGGTCAGAGCAGCGGGAGATGGGGAGGCAACCAAGCCTGAAGAAAGGGAGAGCCCCACAGTTTCCCCCCGGGGGCCCAGGAAGGGCCTTGCCCCTGGGTCCCCTGGGACTCAGGGGCGGGAGAAGCACTCCCCTCCCCAGGGCAGAAAGGCAGGCATGCTGGAGGTGCCGCGCACAGAGGAGGAGCCTGCGCCGGGAGACCCCCCGGGCTCCAGCCCCAGAGCTGGCCGTCTGGACGCAGAGCAAGCCCTGGGTGAAGGCAGGCAGGAGGCCCCCGACCAGCCGAGGAAAGCTGAAGCCCTGCTGAAAGGTGAGCAATGGGGAGGGGCAGGGCAAGGCTCCCGGGAGAGGGCGGCTGGGGCGGGCGTTGCTGGGGACACGCGCCCCTGGGGACTTAGGCTGCTGCCCTAGACCCTTCACAGTTAGGCTTTAGGATCAGAAAGGCTAGCTCTTGTCCTGGCTCTGAGATGGTAATGGTGCCAACTGCATAGCACGGTGAGGGGTATGGGCGCGGGATGAATCTGGCACCTTTGCTCCAGGCCTGCTTCAGTGACGTTCCAGCTCTGTCCTCCTCCCCCTCACCGGGATCCCTCTCTGCAGAGTTGCCCGTGGGTGCTTGTAGGGGCAGGACTCAAACGCAGGTTCCGGAGCTAGGGGCCCCCCCCCGGAGCTGGGGGCCCCCAAGCACAGACGGAAGCCCCGTCGTGGCTGCTCTCTGTGTCCTGGGTGGTGAGGCTCTCCTGGGCACTCATTTCTTTTCAGCTGTGTGCTGTGGGGTCAGGGCAAAAGCCTCAGATACATGGGGTGCAGCTGGGGGCTGCTAAGTAGTGGGCTTGCGCAGAGACCTGAATCCTGCATTCTCTCAGCCTGTCCCACCAAGGACGCCCAGTGAAGCAGGAGCAGGGCCAGAGAAGGAAGGAGGTGCAGGTAAGGTGGCTTGTTCCTCCTAACGGGGTTCCTGCCCCCAGCTCCCCAGGTAATCCGGAAGATTCGGGTGGAGCAGTTTCCGGATGCCTCGGGCAGCCTGAAGCTCTGGTGCCAGTTTTTCAACATTGTTAGTAACTCAGTCTTGACCTGGGCCAAGGATCAGCGCCCAGTGGGCGAGGTGGGCAGAAGGTAAGCCAGCATGTGCCGCCCCCACCTGACCTGGCTCCCTGACCACAGCACGAATGTGGGCATTGTCCTAGCATTTTGGGTCTGTCGCCTCCCTCAATCCTCACAGTGGCCCTAGAGGGGGATTCTAGTATTCCCATACAGAGAGGAGAAAATCGAGTCTCACAGGGATTATGTCACTTGCCCAAAGTCACACAGCTGGCGAGTGTCAGGACTGCAAACCAGGTCATGTGACCAGGACCAGCTCTTGACCCAGGGCCTGTCACCACCTGCCCCAGAGCTCTCATAGCTGGGTTCACAGCAGCCTCTGCGCGCGGGGTGAGGCCTCAGGACTGCAGTCTGGCCCTGGGCTGTGCCCTGTGATGGCCCTCATGACAGGGTCCTCCCCTTCTGCAGTGCAGGGGACGAGGGGCCAGCGGCCTTGGCCATCGTGCAGGCGTCGCCCGTGGACTGCGGCGTGTATCGATGCACCATCCAGAATGAGCACGGCTCGGCATCCACTGACTTCTGCCTCAGCCCCGAAGGTGAGAGTGCCCCTGGGTCCGTGCCCGCCGGCTTCCGAGGGAGGGCAGCAGTCATCTTCGCGGAGATGGTGCTCTCTCTGGGCAGACCAGCCTGAGCACAGCTGCTTTCTCTCCTTTTTCTCTGCATAGTGTTGTCAGGATTCATCTCCAGGGAAGAAGGTGAAGGTATGGTGCCCCTCTGGGGGAGGAGTGGGTGGGCCTCCGGCTCTACCCCTGCTAAGCACAGGGGGGAACTTTAGGAACGTGGCATCTGTACTCCACCACGTGCAGCTGTGCTTGCCTCCCAGGGGAGGGCATGGCTTCAGGAGGAGGACCTGTGATTTCAGAAGACCGTGGAGGAGGAGTGGCTCTGGGCCATGAGGAGTTCCTTCAGCCTGGGCCCTCACCCATGTCAGGGCCCTTGACCAAGGGCAGGACTGTGCACCAGGGCGCATTGCGTTCTGCCAGCTCCCTTCCCAGGGCTTCTCACGGTGGTCAGTGGATTTCTGCGTCAGGTTCACTCAGGCAGCCTGCTAAAGGTGCAGTTTCTTGGGCCCTGTTGCAGATACACTTAGTCACGAAGCCTGGGGAAGGACCTAGGGAAACTGTGTCGCAGTAGGTTCCCTGGTGACTATATGCCCCCAGATTGACAAGCTAAGGCTCAGACATTAGAGGGAGAGTCGCTATTGCTCCTGCAAGAGGATTAGGACCGAGAAGGCAGCTGGGGATGGAGGGGTTTCCAGATGCTCCACCTGCTGCTTAATGCGTTGATGCCTTCATTCATTCTGCCAGTGCAATTGTCCAGGTACCAATTCAAATTTAATGAATATCAGAAATAACCTCACACCTAAAAATTCAACGATTATTCTGTAACATCAGTTACACAATCAAATCTCCCCAACTGCTTCAAAACCACGGTCTGTTTGAATTAGGAGCCACTGGCTGCTCTTGGCCGATGAATCTCTCAAGTCGCTAAAGGATAGCTGTTCTTCCCTCATTTGGTTTCCCTCTTTGCCACTTACTCGTTTGTTTGATGCCATATTCTTTGTTGACGTTTATTGTTGTCACTTGTTTGTCGATGTATAGAATTTCTTACATTTAGCTGATTATGTCACCATCCAGCACGTTCATTCGTGTGCTTTGTCTTAACTAGTAATCGGTCAGATTTGGGCTTGGTTTTGACAAGGACACCTCAGGCATGCGTGCCGTTCCTTCGCATCCTGTCTGCAGGCACATAATGTCAGATTGTTTTACTTTTAGTATTGTTAAGATTGATCACTGGGTTCATTTGGGTGTTTTCTGCCCCATCTGTCCCTTTTAAAAGTTGGGAAATTGTGTATGATAGAACCCCTGTCATTATCTAGGGGTTTTAGAGGTCACCGGTTATTGCCTGAATCCATTATTTCATTAGGGTTTGCAAGGTGGAGAATTTTAATTCTATCATTTCTTCTTCACATTGAAATTTTTCTGTAAAGAAGAAACAGTTACGTGGTTACCCTGTGTTGGTGCCCCAGCATCCTCAAAGGTCACCAGTGAGGTTTGCTTTTTTGTGGGAGCAGGGGTGAGTTTTTTTCACTCACAATTGTGAACATGTATATTTTTAACATATTTGATATCTTCAGTACATTGCAGAAATTATTATTTTTTGTTGATAAGACTGCTTGATTTTGGCCCCTGGGAGTCCCTTCAGAAGGTTGGCACCTGTGTCCTTTGGATATTTGATTTCTTCAGTACATTGCAGAAATTATTATTTTTTGTTGATAAGACTGCTTGATTTTGGCCCCTGGGAGTCCCTTCAGAAGGTTGGCACCTGTGTCCTTTGGATATTTGATTTCTTCAGTACATTGCAGAAATTATTATTTTTTGTTGATAAGACTGCTTGATTTTGGCCCCTGGGAGTCCCTTCAGAAGGTTGGCACCTGTGTCCTTTGGATATTTGATTTCTTCAGTACATTGCAGAAATTATTATTTTTTGTTGATAAGACTGCTTGATTTTGGCCCCTGGGAGTCCCTTCAGAAGGTTGGCACCTGTGTCCTTTGGATATTTGATTTCTTCAGTACATTGCAGAAATTATTATTTTTTGTTGATAAGACTGCTTGATTTTGGCCCCTGGGAGTCCCTTCAGAAGGTTGGCACCTGTGTCCTTTGGATATTTGATTTCTTCAGTACATTGCAGAAATTATTATTTTTTGTTGATAAGACTGCTTGATTTTGGCCCCTGGGAGTCCCTTCAGAAGGTTGGCACCTGTGTCCTTTGGATATTTGATTTCTTCAGTACATTGCAGAAATTATTATTTTTTGTTGATAAGACTGCTTGATTTTGGCCCCTGGGAGTCCCTTCAGAAGGTTGGCACCTGTGTCCTTTGGCAACCTTGGTATTATTTTATAGCTTCTCTGCTTTCTGGTCTGACGACTTGTTTTGGGTCCAGCCAGTCCGGTTCCTTCTAGTGGGAAACGGTATTTAGCTCTGGGAGTGCTCACTTCTGGATTGGTCCTGCAACCCTCTTGGTTCAGTCCAACATGTTGGTTGAGATGGTTGAGACTTACTTGATCAGAACACCTAACTCTAAAAAGAAGTAATAGCGGTGCTCTATGCTGTCTGCCTCTTCCACAGAAGAGCCCTGCCTTCCGCAGAACTGACCGAGTCCTTACTGTGTGTGGGCACGCTTGGGCCCCGTTGAGTGGCAGGGGACTCCTGGTGCACACCGAGGAGCAGTGACGGACAGAGAGCGGGCACGTCAGAGTGGCAGGGCGGGAGGCCGTCCGGCCTCTCCTGCCCTACAGAGCCCATCTCAGTCTGGCAGGAGCTTCTAGTTTTCCACACTTTTCTTGTTCCCTTCAGTTGGAGAAGAGATTGAGATGACCCCCATGGTGTTTGCTAAGGGTCTGGCTGACTCTGGTTGCTGGGGGGACAAGCTCTTTGGGCGTCTGGTGAGCGAGGAGTTGCGAGGGGGTGCACAGGGGTATGGCCTTCGGAAGGCCTCCCGGGCCAAGGTCATCTACGGACTGGAACCCATCTTCGAGTCGGGCCGCACGTGCATCATCAAAGTGACCAGCCTGCTTGTGTTTGGACCCAGCAGTGAGACTTCGCTCCTGGGCAGGAACTATGATGTCACTATTCAGGTACTATGTCCCATCCCTGTGCCCCATCCATACCCAGGCTACATCTCTGGAGCCATAGTTTTTAAACTATACTTTTGCAGCAGAAACCTTCCCACTGTCCTCAAACATGTCTTGCCCAGAAACCTTATATAAGAGATAAAAGGGGAGTGACTGTGGGTGGCTGGATGGTCTGTGCTCTGCCCAGTCAGCATCGTCCTTGCTCCACAGCATGGCCCCCAGGGCATTGCCACCTATCACCAGGGCTCCAGGAAATGCAGTTTGGAAGCCACCTTGAAAACAAGTCCACAGCCTTTTGTTTTACAAATAAGAAAAATGAGGTGCAGAGCAGGGCAGGGAGGGAGTGAGCCCTGCCTCCCCCGGGGGCTGGAATGCTCCAGCCATCTTCCAGCAGATGCCCTCCCGCTCAGAGCTAGGCACCATGGGGAATGGGGAGCTTCCTTGCCGATCAGGCTCGGCTCTCTTCAATCCGCAGGGGTGTAAGATCCAGAACATGAGCCGGGAGTACTGCAGGATCTTCGCAGCGGAGGCCCAGGTCCTGCCTGGCTTTGGGGAGGTGCCTGAGTAAGTGCGCAGGGAGGCGTGTGCAGGGGGCAGGCCTGTCGGCTCCAGCGTCCACGGAGAACAGTGCCCTCACGGTCCTGCGGGGGCCTCCCAAGTTACGGCCGTGTACACAGTGGGCCCACAGCTAACCCCATCCATGCTCAGCCCAACGGTCCCACAAACTCTAGAAGTAAAGACTCGGGATTCACTGCCCACTTTAGAAGAGCCTCTCCTCTGGTCTTCAGCCTCCTTCCATCCACCCGACTTCCCCACTCCTTAGCCCAGTTTGCTGGTTGCAGAGTTTGGGCTCTGCAGGTTCTGGGTCTCTCTGAAGGTGATGGGGTAGGCTAAGCATCCGCAGACTGGTCAGGACTCTCCTGTGGTAGGCAGGCAGAGTCAGCGTGATCTTTTGTAGGAATCAGCTATAAATGGTCATTGTTTCCCTTTCGAGATCTGCACTCTGACTCTTGAATATTGGGATTGACATTGAGCCACATTTTGGTTGCATCCTCTCCAGAGGTGTCCTTTCTGTTTGGCATGTACTGGTGTCGGTCCCTCACCCAAGCACAGGGTCCTCCTGGGACGATAGCATGGTTCACCTCTAATCCCACTGGCCTCAGAGAATGGACAGGACTGTGCAGCCAGTGGCCTCCTTTTCCTTTCCTCGACTCAGGGTGGAGCTTCCTCCATTTACTCCCCTCTAGTCCCAGAGTTGAGAATTCCTTTCTTGGAAGGACCCTCCCTTAAAGGGTATAACTGAGGATATAAAAGAGTATAAAGGATGTAAACCTGAGGTGGAGGGCGGATTCCTCTGCGGCCAGGCTTGCTGCTCACTGCAGGGCGAACCTGTGTCTAGGATCATCCCACTGTACCTGATCTACCGGCCCGCCAACAACATCCCGTACGCTACCCTGGAGGAGGATCTGGGCAAGCCCCTGGCGTCGTTCTGCTCCCGGGAGGGGGGCGGCGCTGCGGCTCCGGCAGCATCCTGCAGTCCGGAGGCCGCGCAGAAATGCCAGACCTTCCAGCACTGGCTGTATCTGTGGACGAATGGCAGCTTCCTCGTCACAGATCTGGCAGGTAGGAGGGTGTGAGCGTGTGCGTGCCCCGTGTGTGAGAGCATGAGGAGGGCAGGGCCACAGTTCCTGTGCACCAGTCTGCTTTTGTGTTTATTCTCTTTTGCTTTTCGCAGTGACCTTGCAGAGTAGGTTGAACTGGGACCGTTCTGTATGCAGCCCTCGCACGTACCGGGCCTCCTGAGGCTCAGTCCTGTGACTGCAGTCGCATTTAAAGGAGTGCATCCCAGGCTCCACTTAGAATCCAAAAGAAATCCATCTCAGAAAATATTACATGGGATGTAATTCAAAACCCACAGCCACATCGGCAAAATCTCCCGCCTCCCTTTGCTCCCTGCGCGTTGCTCCAGGCCGTCTCTCTCTCCGTCTCTTCTACCCCCGGGCAGGGGGCTTTACTGTCCCTCCCTCCTCCTCCTCCTCCTCCTCCTCCTCCATCTTTATTAGCTTTTTAGTATCTAAACCAACAGAATCTCTCTGGCTTCTTTTTACTTTATTTCTGTTCCTTCCATTACTCACATTCCCCCCAACAAAGACAGGCAGGGAGCATGAATCCGCCTTCACTCCTGACCCGCGCTTCCTGGCCTGCTCTCCTTCAGTGGGCAGAGGAGAGGAAAAGACGACATGTCCTGCGCAGCGGGAGGGGAAGAGCGCTAGGGGTGACACAGCATTACATTTTGTCTCTGATGTGAATCAGTGAGAAAGCCAAGGGCCAGAGTTTGAAAACTGCTCAAATGTGCTTTTCACTGCGGTTAAACTATACAGTAAATAATGTATATACAACCCCAAATACTGGGGGAGGAGTGTTATTATTCACTCTCTTTGTTAACTCATGAATTTATCGTTCCTTCCTCTTTTATCCTGTCTATCCAACATTTACTAAATACTGGAGACATAGAAAGGTGAATTAGGAATAGTCGTTGTCCTCAAGAAGTTGTGATAAGTATACCAATGTCTACAATGAGATGACAATATGATACGGTAGAGAGACTTGGGGGCGTCAAAGAAAATCAGTTTAAGTCTAAGGTCTCATGGTTTTCTAGCTGGGTCTCTATTGTATAGAGAAGAAAAGGGAAGCTCAACAGGTCAGGTCTCTTAGTCTCTCTAAGCTTCAGTTTCCTTCCCCTCTCTAGGAGTAATATCTTCCCTGCCTATCAGACTTGTTATGGGGATTAAATGAGACTATTTGTGAAAGCTTCTGCAAACTAAAATCCTGCACAAGTGGAAGCAGTTTTTGTTCTCATAATGCAGAATGGAATGTGATAAATGCTGACAGAGAAATGACAAAGAAATTAACATTGGTTGCATAACTACACACTAGTTTAGTTTTGCACACTAAATTAGAGTCCTGTGCATGCTGTGATCTTCTTAATACTCCTGCAAGATGGGCAGTGTTATCCCCCGTTTTATAGTTGAGGATTAGAGATCGTAAGCAACCTGACATGTTCACGCAACTCGAAAGTGAGAGAGCTGAAATGTGAATACAGGTCTGTCTGATTCTCAAGCCCTCATTTGTGCCACTCTGTCAAATGGTACTCAGCCTGTTCATTCCTAGGCAAGTTCCTGGAAGAACTCGTTAGTTTGAAAATGGGGAAAGAGGGTCACAGGTGTAATGCATGAATGCTAAGATGCTGGGGTGGACCCGCCAGGGTGGAGAACCTTTCTCTTCCATCCCCATTTTGCCGGCTCTTTCTTCCAAGGCTGTCTTCACCTAGAAGACCACCTTGGCTTCCTGGAGTGCTTGCTCACGCCTTAATGAGTAAATAGAAGCCAGTCCCATCCAGTGTCACATATCTGCTGGTCTGGCCCCAATTTACCTTCACGTTCCCACCTTCTCTGTCTTGCCCAGATAGGCTAATCTGTTCAGGAGAAGGAGGAAGTGTCAGCTCAGAGCAAGAGGCCAGCCCAGTTTGTGACCTAGTCTCATCCAGCAGGGGCAGGATGTCTGGGTGCAGGAGTAAGAAGAACGGAACTTGGGGCATCGCACATAGTCAGTGCTCGTTTATTAAATAAATGTGACTGCTCCAGTCACTTCACTCAGAGCTTGTCTCCTCACTTATAAAAATGGGACGGTTATTACTCGTAATAATGCGGAGAAGCTGCTCTGCCTGGGAGACGACCCAGCAAGAGGGCACCTGAGACCCAGCAAGTCCCCTGTGAAAGTGATGTCCTCCTGGGGGCACGGGCCCCCAGCCCAGCCCAGTGCCATCAACTCCCCATTTTCTCTCTTTGCAGGGGTCGACTGGAAGATGACTGACGTGCAGATTGCTACCAAACTGCGAGGGTGAGTGGCCCTTGGGGACAGAATGCCCTCTGTGAATCTTCTCAGGGTGTAAAATGTCAAAGTTCTTGTGATTCTCCATCCCTGAGGTGCTCGGCCCGTGTCTGCACGGTCCCAGGCTTGCACCTGTGGCCACCTAGTAATGTCCCAGGGGCCGCCGCCCCTCACCTGCTGTGGACCTGCCCCTGTTGCCTCTCACTTGATGCAGAGGAGCCAGGGCCCTGTGAGGGGAGTGGGGGCCTGGAATCCGCCCCGATCTGCGTGAAAAAGGCCGATCGCCCTCACACTGACTTGTGTCCCCCAGGACGAATTCCCTGAGCCTGGGCGTAATGAGACTTCAGTTTAGAAGTGAGGTTTTGGGTGCTACCAGGTACTGTAGCACCCAGGTAGACTCCCAGCACCCCCGGGCGGGGTAGGGTGTTCCCCGGGTCACGGACTCTCAGCCTGGGTGCGGCTCCTCCTCAGCTCTCCCTGTTCGGCTGCAGATACCAAGGCCTCAAGGAGAGCTGCTCCCCTGCCCTGCTGGACCGGTTTGCTTCCTCCCACCAGTGCAACAGCTTCTGTGAGATGCTGGGGCTAAAACCCCTCAAGGGCCTGGAGGCCGCCCACCCCCCAGCCAAGGCCAAAGGCTCCAAGAGTCCATCTTCCGGCAGGAAGGGCTCCCAACTGAGTCCTCAGCCCCAGAAGAAAGGCCTCCCCAGTCCCCAGGGCACCCGGAAGAGTGCCCCAAGCTCCAAGGCCACCCCTCAGGCCTCAGAGGCCATCGCCAGCCAGTTACTGGGACAGCCTCCCATTCAAGAGGGGGCCTTCAAGGCCCAGGGCATGCGGTAGCCTGCACAGGAGGCCGGGGGGCCTCCACTCAGCAGCCGACCAGCAAGGAAGCAGCTGGAACCGATGGAGACCTCCCCAGTAAGGGGCTGACAGGAGACGGTGTGCGGAGGAGGCTCCCTCCGGGGGCCCCTCAGAGCAGCCTCTCTCCAGCCAGCTGCTCATCGAATGGCTCTGGCGCGTGGCAGACAGCCCAGTGGCCTCTCCTGGTGCCATCATCACCTGGGGCTCCCAGGCCCCACCTCCGAGTGCCTGGCCACCTAGCCCTCCTTGAAGTTTACACTGGCCACTGCTGGAGGCTCCCCCGAGTCCTCTGCATGAGTTCTCCAACCCCTCGCCCCAGCCAGACCCTGCCGTGAATGTTGTACTCTGGGGGCACGCAGGCCAGCATTTACCCTCTTCCCTCGCTTGGCCCTGATCCCGTCCTGTCCTTAGGGCTCCAGGCTTCCTCTGCTGTGTCTGGCCACGTGGCTCTCAGGGTGTCTTCTCCTTCCAGCTGCTTTGCCTCAGTCATGCCAGCTTCCCCTGTGACTACCCTGTCCCTGAGCCCAGAGGGGGCTCAGGGCCTTTCCAGAGCCCGTCATTTGTGCAGTGGTCTTTGGTGACGTGTGCTCGTGCTTCTCCTGCCCCCATAACTCAGGTACTCACCTGCTTCCCGTGCTCCCTTGCGCCCTGTGCCCACTCCTGGCTTTGAGCCCAAGTGCAGCTTGCTGCCTGCCCTTCACTGACTCTGCTTGTCCCCTTGCCCAAAGGCTTCCCTAGCCTGATTCGGTACCTGCCCACCAGTGCCCAGCTGAGAAGCAGACCCCTGGCTCTCAGTCCTCCCCTGCTTCTCCCAGGCCCTCTGCCCATGAGGTGAGAGCTGGCTTGAGGGTTGTGTCAGCTGCTGCGGCCAGAGGGAAGGTGTTGACTTTGAGGGACCTTGTACTCCAGACTGAAGAGGTGGGGTCACACTGAATTTTGCATCCCCTCTTGACCAGGGATGAAGGGCTGGGAGAGAGGGCCCGGGAGTTCTTGGAGGGATGTAACCCACCCACGTGCTGGGGTGGAGGGGTGTCTTTGAGCCTGGGAATTAGGACACTTGCTCACAGCCTTAGCTTTTGATCCTGGGGCTCCAGCTCTGGGGCCTCGTATATGGGCTCCCAAGAAATTACTGTGCTCAGCCCAGCACCCGGTCATTCCTGAGAGCCCGTCCTTGAGGCCTGGGGCTGCTCTGCTCCCCCTGGACTATAATAAAGGCAGTGACTGTGTATCCTGCTTGTCCTCATCTGATGTGCTTGTAGGTATCTAGGGTCAGGATCCCCTCTCACCAGGCAGGCTCTCCGGGGCGTCTTGCAGCCCCTGGAGAAATGAGTCCATCCTGGACTGACATTCACTGTCAGCCTTCTGTGGCCACAGCTAGACAGTCAGTGCTTCCGGTATAACCGAGGGCTGATGGCTTGTGCCCCTTGGCAGTGTGTCTGGGAACTTAGGCCTTTGAAATTGCTCCTTCATTTGGAAAAGGAATATAAAGCAGGGAGTCCAGGAAGGAAGAGAAGAGCCGGGGGCTCTGGGGACACGCTGTGTCTCCAGCTGTGTTCGCTGCAGCGTGAGTGGCCCAGGGGTGACCAGTGTCTGCCTCTCAGCTGCTCACTGGCCTTTTCCTGCTTCCCAGGCTGCAGAGGCTCCTCATTCCCGACCCCGGCCACCACCTGGCCTTTCCTTGCCTGACACTGACCCCCTCCATTTTGACATTTCTGACTTTTCTACCTCCTCTTGTGCTCAGGTGGCTTTACTCCCTTTGTCCTCTCGCCCCAGTGCGCCCCCACCTCTCGCAGCTGCGTATCCAGCTTGCATGGTGAACTGAGAGCTGGAATGTCGTTCATTCATTCATTCGTCCATTCACTCAGCAGACATACACTGAAACTGAGCACCTTTATGCCAAACTCTGAGCTGAGTCAAAAGACCCTCTTTCCATCGGGTTTCTTGGGTTTTGAGCAGTAGATGTGGACTCAGACCAACTTAAGCAAGGAAAAAAGGTTCCTGGGAAGGGTGATGGCTACCCCACAGGACCGAAGGAATAGCGGACCACTGGCCTTGAGAGGGGAGGGCAAGAGCCAGCGTGGCTGGAGAGCCTGCCTGCAAGGGGCTGCCGACGTCGGCCTGTCGGTACCAACTGGCCGTCGGCTCCTGTGGGTCTCCACTCAAGATTCAGATTTCCCCCTAGAGCTCAGAGCATCGCAGAGCAGGAGAGAGGCCGTTCTCCAAAGGATGGGGATTCTTACCGGAGGGATGGTGGCAAGAGGGAGGGCAGAAAGGGCTTGGTAGGCAGCAGAAGATACCCTTACACACGCACGCACACTCACACACATGTCCTTCCCACATACAACCCAAAGCAAATCCCTCTCTGCTTGGGGAGACCACCGAAGGCCACATCCAATGGCTAAGTCGGGGTGATGGACAGGGCTGCTGACCCCCAAAGTCCATTGCCACTAGGGATGCTCTTCCCTCCTTCACCACAAGCCCATGTTGAAATTCTGCAACCTGTAGGTAACTGGTATGGGCAGAGGCTGCAGTCCACTTCTGCAACTGTCAGGAGGACTAGCGTTTAGACTAGGGGGTTGCCTGTTGGAGTGAAGCCATCCTTCAGCTCCAAGGTCCCACTCCCCTCACTCTATTCCTGTGGCTTTAACAAGAGAGGAATTTGTCCTGACCATGGGCCCTTCTTCCGGAGTTAGATTTGCTTTCCTTACGCATCATGTCTCTCCTACCATCAGTACCCACAGACTTACCAAATGCGATAAACATAACCATAGTATCCCCATATACTGCATCCAATCAAAGAACACACGTTACAGAAAAAGAAAAGTAATGAGTAGATGCCTAAGGCATTCACACACCTCACCAGGACCCCCCAGTCCGGAAGTGGTCAACCTGTCGGTGTAGTGGAACCCCACCTACTGGTGGTGTGCTCTGGCCGCGCCTGACTGTGCGGGCTGGTCAGACAGCCCGTGTTCACGAGGGGCAGCGTGAGCCCCTGGCGCGCTGTGGCTAAGCATTCAGGCTCTCCCAGAGCCCTGCGGCAAACCAGAGGGCCGTGTCTCAGAAGGGTAATAGTTACTTGCCACAAGCTCCGTATGGCACTCTGCTCTGCCAGGGCTCCACACGGCTCCCCAGCACCATTGCATCTGCCAAGTCGTGTGACCTTTGGGGCAGGACCAAAGGGTTTCTCAGCTGGTGAGCCTTTCTTTCTCCGAAGCTGGTGACCCTCTAGGACAGTCAGTAAACGGGTTGGAGCAAGATGGCCCAAAGCGATCATTTTGCCTGGAATTGGGCCTTAGTGGTAAGAAGTTCCCAGTGCAGTAATTTGTTCCACATTGTGGAGGAAATCATTCTGATCTCAACGGACCCCTGAGCCCTCAGGAACTTTATCCAGCGGACAGACCTTTGCATTTTCACATGATTTATCTCCCGTCTCTGACTCCTGTATGTCTTACCAAGGCATCTAGGGAAACTGCCGATCTCCAGGCCCTAATCGGCCTGAGGCCACAGTCTGATAGAACACTGCTGGGCAGGTGGTGGCCCAGAGCTGGACAGCTACAACATTGCATGTCTTTAAGCCAGAACAACAGTGCTGCCCTGCCAGGTGAAGGTGAATTGCTTCTGATGTTCTTCATTCAACAAAATAGAGAAAAAATGAATTCACTACATCAAAGGATTCATACCAGATGAATTTACTTTGGCAAGAAGACCATCTCTGGAACTATGCCTGCGGTTGGAGACATCACTTTTTAATGTTTACAACAATCTGAAGACCTCGTGGTGGTCTGTCCTGCCAAGCTGAGCTGTGGTAGGAATCACTATGAATTCATTCTCAAGTCTTGATAACGCCGATTTCTACAATCCTCCCCAGGGATATGGCATTACGTTTGATTTACATTTTGGTAGGGAGAGAAAGTTCTAATGGCTTGTGCTTGTCCTGTCCTACCATAATCATTCTTACCTGCAACTCAGCCATTGTGGGTGTTGTGCTTGTTTCAAAATACAATGATCTCAACTCTACACTCAAAATAACCCCTGGTTGGTTTTGAGATTCCACTGGGTCTACTGTGGCACAACATTTGGTCTATTAATCGTCCCCTTTGATTGGTAGAGCACATGCTTTTCCTATTGTCCCCAGATAATAGCTTGGAGCCAGTGTCCTACAGAGCTCCTTTCCCCAAGTGGACATATTTTCCCTTTCCTTTTATAGTTCCTAGATAGGTGGACACAGACCCCATTGGGGAAGACTGCTAGGAAGGGTCACTATGAATCTAAGTGTTAAAACAAGGTTTTCCTTCAAACATAATTGACTCTCCATTGAAGGTCTGGAAATTAAATCGGAGATTTTGACTCTCTTTGACTCTTGACAAAGGCCTGTTTGCCCAACCGAAGTCTTTAGTCATGGTAATAACTAGCTAATATCTTAGGGGCTGTCTGGTCCCTTTCATTCCTGGGACCCAGTGATTGATTAACAACAGCTAGAAGTCTAGTTTCCATTCCTGTGTCCCTCACGATGGCTTCCTCTCCTCTGTTCCTTCTGTGTCTCTCTGCTGCTGAAGTCAGGGAGCTCATCTTCACAGCAGCTCTTCAAACCAGCATTCCAGGCCTGTAGAGGAGCCCCAGCAGAGCCTCACCAGTTCATTTCTCGTGGGGAAAAGTGAGACCATCTTCTGGGGCCTGTCAGACAGTGAGAGGGTGGGTGGGCTGGATGCATGCCAGGGACCCAATAAAGCATTCTTGTCTCTTGAAAGCTGTGAGTTCTTCCCTTTCTTGGGTATTCGGTCTTTTGATATAATTTATCAAGAGGTTAACATTTGGTTCCGATTTGTATCATCCGCCCCCCTCGTCACATGGTGAGAACTTCCCGGGCTGTTTCTGCTTCTGCTTTGAAGGTAGAATCTGCTGAGTGAACAGAGCTGTCTTGGTCAAACAGCTTTTAAAAAGTTCCCATAAATCTCCCCATATTCTTTGACAGTGTCGGTTAGTGAATTCAGTCAGTTTCTCCTGGGCGTGACTCCTCTTTTTCCCGGTGTGGTCTTGCCTCCCACCCCCTGCGCTATGTGAAGCGTGGACTCTGGTTCCGGGCTGATTCACAGTGCGGTGTGGGTCAGGGTCTGGGTCCCAGTTTTGTGACTTTCTACTGTCAGTACCCCTGAGTTGACCAAACTCTGGGAGGCTGTCTCATTCACTAAACTTACAAGAAAATGGGATTTGGGCACCAAAAAACTCACCTTGATAATTTTTAATGAGAAATTTATACCAAGAGACTGGATACTTGTGTTTACCTGGTAAATGAATTCTTCCCTTCTTTTTCTGAGGGAAAAATTTGAGGGAAACCAAATTATCAGAAGGTTTTTTGATGAGCTTATAAGTCAGATAAACTTCAGTTCAAATCCTGCTTTACTTCCATTTGAACTGAGCTTATTACTTAACCTAACCTCTCTGAACTGAGATGCATCATCTTTAAAAATCCTTTTACTAACACTATAGGTTGCCATTCATATGTGACAGTTATATGTCCTGGGTACATAATGAACAAAACACATAGACTTCTCCCTCATGGAGCTCCCAGTCTACTGGGGGAGCCAGACATTAAACAGACACACCAATAAGTGTATAATGGCAAATATGTAAGTATTAAGTGCAATAAAACAGAAGAATGGGAGAGAATACCAGCAGGGTGTTAGGAGCCAATCTGAAGGCATGATATTTGATCAGCGATCTCAAGGCTGTCAGGGAGGGACAGGGGGAGAGTGTGCCTGGCAGAGGGAACAAGCTGGGCAGGGGGTCTGAGTCAGATTACATCGGACAGAATGGAAGCTGTATGTAGGGCACAGTACCCAAGAGGGCTTTGGCATTGCAGTTCAGAGAGGGACAGGACTTGGCCGTGGAGGACATTTGCACGAGGCCCTGAGAGCGGTGGTGCATCAGTTAGGATCAAGTGCAATGTCATGAACAGAAGAGCTGAAATAGTAACACAACTGTAGAACACCAGAGAGCCAAATCTTCATTGTACAGCCAACAGATAATGTCTAAAGATGAATATAAAAAAATAGTCTCTAAATATTTTTGTCCATCATTCATCTATCTATCCATCTATTCATCTATTTTATTTATAGAGGTTATGACCAGAAGTGAAAAAACAAGAACAGCTTGTTTGGAGTTGTGTAGGGTGGGCCTAGTCTCCCTGAGACTGCCCAGTGGTGGGCAGCCTCGAAGTTTCCTTCGCCAGTCATCTGTTTGGATCTTACTTGAAACAGGCTAGAGAGCGTCCCCAGCTCCTGCTTCAGGAACTTCCTGTTGGAAATTGGATCAAATCCCATTCAACCATGAAAATTTGAGCGCCATTGTTTAATTGCAGTGACAAATATGAGATTGATGGAACTCTGCCAGGCAGGACTATCTGTCCTCAAAGGGCTGTGGTTGTATGACTGGAGCTAGCTCTTGGTAGGAGTTATCCCATGTGGACACCCAAGGGGCCTGGCACCCCTGAGGCACCGTCCTCTGTCCTTAGAACTGATGTGGTTCAGAGTTGTCTCTGTCTTATTATTTCCAAAGGCTGCAAAGAGTAGCAGCTACCATACATTCAACCTCAGGGGACACACCGCACGCAAGGGTGAAAGAGCCTCTCCCTGGCCCTTGCTCTACACACCTGGACGGTCATGACTGTACAGGTCACTGGGCTGGGGTGATGTTCTAGCCAACTGCTTTGGCCATTCGAGCAGTGCATCCAGGCCCAGTGTGGGATGTGCCCCTGTGGACTCAACTGGCTGGCATTTCTGACCAAACGGAATGCCTTGGTTTTACACTGTATCTCTTTGATTCTACCAAACCCCATGAGAATTCTCTTTGGAACAGACCACGGACAGACCTGGAGTCCTCTCTAAGGATCTCTGAGGCAGGCGGAGTACCTATGAGGAAGAGACTCCACATTGGCTTGGGCCTGGGCCTGGGGTAATCCTCAGCAGTAGCTGCTTCTGATACCTGGCCAGGTCCCTTTTACTGTGGGGACCCATCTCCCAGACAAGTGAGTGGGTTGGCTCACAGCTGCCCCTTGTCAGAAGAATTGTCCTGAGTCAAATGGAATCCACTTCACCTGGTAGGCAGCACCCCCTCCCAAACCCTTCCTCCGTCTTTGGTCCATGACTGACTGGCCTGGCTGCGCTTCATGGTACAACAAAACTATGGGAGGGTTTGCATTCCGGAGTTTCCCTGTGGGATCAGAATAAAGCTAGACTCTAATCAAGACCGTGCTCTTGTTTCTTAACCCGCTCGATTCTGCATCTCTTATTCCTCTTCTGCAAAGCGCACCCCTTCCTGCTCAGTAAATCCCTTGAACAAGAATCCCCATCTCAGGTCTGGGAACCTGCCTCAGACACATCAGGTGTCCTGCTCTGTGAACTCTGTCACTGGCAGAGAAATTTCACTGGGGTTCTTCTTTTCTATGAGGGCAAAATATGTGTTCTTAGGGCAGTTGGAGTCAAATTACTCAGGCTGTGTGGCTAACTGCCCCGTAGATTGGCCTTTGCAGAATTTGTGCAAGGTCTTCCTCGGGAAGTCACTCAGAGATGCATCCCTGATTTCGTGGAGTCTGACCAGAGAACACAATTCACAGCCATTGGGTTTAAGTGTGGGCCCAGAACGCACCCTGCCTGTCAGGCAGCTGGTGAGATGGAAGCATGGGGTGGGCAGCTCAGAGGCCGGCTCAGCTCTCCCCGTATGAAGGGAGCACAGCGACCTGTGGCTCACCCCAGGCCACCCAGCTTCTCCACAGGGCTGCATTCATGGCACCAGCTCCCCCGTCACACACCTCCGCAGAGGACAGCTGGGGGACCGTGGTAACCAGTGCTGCTTCATTGGGTTTCTAGAAGGTTCACTGAGAGAGTGCGGGAGCGCCCTCAGCACCGGGCAGGCTCTCCTGTGTGAGGCCTTCAGCCGGCGCCATTCTCACCATCTCCTGGGACTGCAGTCCATGTCGGCCACCTACACCCTGCTCTTCTTCCAAGCCGGGAGCCCCTGGTGTCCCCACCTTCCCTCAGGGCGGGGTGGCTAGCAAAGACCTCTACCCGCAGCTGTGAAAACTGCTTTCTAGCTCTTGCCCTTGGGAAGCTGCCTCCTGACCCTCAGCTCCTGCCGTGGGTCAGGCCTGCCACAGCCCTGCGGTCATGGAACAGAGGGACTCGGGTACCACCTTTGGAATGATGGCTTTTGCTTCCACAGGCAGAGAGAAGCGGAGAGGAGGCTCTCGGAAGGAGTCCCGTTGTATCATTGGCGCTGGCCAGAGGAGAGTCAGAGACGAGGCCTGCCCTTCATTCTAAGGCGTGGTGTTGTAATGGAGGAATTCCACCTGGGTACAGGGAGGCAAGGGTCACCTGGGAAGTGTCAGTGTCCAGATGTGACAGAGGTGTTCGTTTTTGTTCTTCCTAGCAATTGTATTTAATTTGTGATGCCCCGCCTATCAGCACCTTCCTCATGGACAAGGCTGGTCTGTGGTAGATTTATTTTACTGGCTTCTCCCAAGGAGGCCTAAAGTCCTCTTCATGGAAAATTCTGTAAAAGTATCTGGCTTTGTTCTAAGGCTCAGTGGGTGTCACATCAGACCACTTCTCTGACAAAGGGAGAAGATGGACAATCATGGATATATTTTTGTCTAATAATTGACCAGCTTATCAACTGTGACTCAGTGTCAGGCTCTGGGCCAACGAAAGAATGGAGATGCACATTCACTACCAGTGGCCGGTGAAAAATGGTACACGTGAGGATAAGGAGATGGCTTTGGAATAAAACCCATGGAATCCAGGGACATCACCCTTGAATCCCAGAGGATGACATGAATGGAGACTAACCTTCGGTGGCAGAACATCTTAACCTGGACCAGCTGAAAGGGAAACATCTCGATCTCTCATTCTATGAAAAGCTGACATGAGATGGTAAGTCCAGAGGGATAGAAGGTAAAACAGTAACAATTAGGGAAATGCACTTCACAAGGGAGCAGCAAGTTAATATTTGGAAACAGTGGTTTCTTAATTGCTTCGGGAAAATGACCCGTGGCCAGCAGCCTTAGGAACTCATGGGTGTGGGACTAGGTGTCCTTATTCAACTATCCCTTTATTGTTCCTGGGATAGAAGAGCCCCAGAGTCATTCTTTAATTTTGTATTGGATAATGGCCATTTGTGCCCATCTGTTGCCAATGAATAGAAAGGTCAAGGGGTGGACTGTCTCAGGACAGATGAGTAGTCATGCCAAGCGGGTTGGGGCAGGGTGTGGGGTGGCGTTCGGCCTTTTGGGCATTGGAGTGCTTCCTTCCTTTGTGAACACCTGACCTGGTGTGTAGTTGCCAGAAGAGCAGAGGGCTCCGCATCCTGGGATAGTCCATTTTCATGGGAACTTTATAGTAGAGGATATAAAATCCCAAGATATTTCTTCAGTTTTTGTGCTTTCCTCTCTGTCATCAGAATCTGTAAATGCCTTCTAGGGTAGAATATGTCTGCTGTGACCATGGGAAGCCCATTTTTAAGTGCCGCAGATGAGAAAGGAAATATTGCATTGACTGTCCTTTCTGCCAACCAGCCCAGGTTTAAGAGAGAGAAGCAGGTTTGGGGGAATGACAGGGAGGTCATGTGCAGGGAACCCAGCCAGGTGGGAGCCCCTCTTCTTATCCACTGCTTGGACACAAGAATCAAGAAGGCAATGGGAGAAACTCCACCTGTGAAGAGCCAACAGGTCAGTGTGGGCACCACCGTGAGAGGGAAGCAGAGATTGCTGGGCAGCCCTTCTGAGGACGTCTGCCTCTTATAATTCTGAATGTTTCATTTGCCACTTACAAAAATATTCTTTCTGTTAATTCAGAGCCTGGCAAGGAGAAGGGATTCTCTCTCACAGTGGCCAAGAATTCCCCTGAAACATGAGATGGCACCAAAGAATAAAACCAGAAACAGGTCAGTGGCTGCCTCTGAGGGGGGGATGGGGAGGGAGAGGTGGGGCGGCCTCTTCACTGTCAACCCTTCTGAGTGTTTTTCTGTTCTGATTGGAAGGGACACGTGTAAGTCTTACAGGTATAAAATCTCGTATGGTCCTTGCCTCGCTCTGCCCTGGACCCAGCGCCCCTCCTCTGGGTGACTCAGTCCTGGTGCCGCTCTGCCACCCATGGTGGGTGGGCCTCAGAGGCCACCCCCTCAGGAACAGCCTCCTGGGGAAGCAAGCACACTGAGCCCACGCAGCTGGGCGGGGCAGAGCTGGGACCCCCGGGGCCCTCTGGCTCACCGTCTTTCCCTGGGGCTCAGCCCGCCACCTGGCCTGCGACTCTTGGACAGATTCCACCTGAAGAGAGAACACCTGGCTTCTGGGGTCCGGGTCACTGTTGGCTGGCCCTCCTTGAGGGGAGGAGCAGGGGAGAAACTCAGGGTCTCCTGGCCTGGAGGAGAAGAGCGGTGTGCCACACTGTCCCCAAGACCGGACCTGTGCTGGCAGTGACAGCTGCCAGCCCAGTGGTGCCCGGTCCCTGCCAAGCCCTGCATTAGCTCATTTAACCCCCACTGACAGTTATGCATGAGGCAGGTGCTGTTACCCACCCCCACCACTGTACAGATGAAGAAACAAGTCAACTTTCGATGTCAGGAGCTCATCTAGACCTCTGGGCTCTAAACTCAGGCTTCATCCCACACACAGCCTATTAAAGCCCTATTTTAGAGATCAGGGCACACGAAGATGTCGAGGTTATAAAGTGCAATATAGGGAATGTTCTGGAATGAACTTGCTGAATGAGCTCACATCACCGCTGGGCACCAAGAGAAGCCAGGAGAGGAGGAGGAGTGGGGCAGAGGCGCAGAAGCCCATGCAGTCCTGTGTGCCCCTCCCTAGGGCCTGGCGAGACCCCCTGCAAGGGAGGCTCCAAGCCCACCTCTGCGGAGGCCCCCACAGAGGCAGGGGCTGCTCAGAATAAACCAGATGATGCCACAGACATTTAGTTTATAATCAAGGCAGCAGGAGTGGGAAGTGGGCCAGGGTGTGGCTCTCTGCCGCCAAAAGCAAATTGCAGAAATTGCTGGTATAGTATGAGACCCTTCTGTAAACCGAGGAACGTAAGAAGAGTTTCTCTTAAGAAAAGACAGGAGAAAAACTCCATAAGGTCAGTGGTAGTCCCCTCCGGAGAACTCAGAGGGATTTTTAACTTCCTGTGCGCTGTGTCTTCCTATAATGTTTAAATGTTCAACGTTACACCTGTGATGCTTTTGTAATCAGAATGGCAGACCCAAAAATATGTTTTTAAAGAGAGGGGAAGCCCCGCCCTCCATGCATCATCCTTTCCAACCTTCCAGAAGTGCCAGCAGCCTGTGCGGATAACCCTGCGCTACCAGGAAATGTTTACGCATCACAATGGGCTTTGTCCTGAGTGTGTACGATTAATTATTAAAGAGATGTTGTCAGTCCTGTCAGATAAGTTTAATATTTAGTTTGAGGATTAAAACACTAAAGTCTTTGACTTTGCACACTGTTGCTTAGGTGTCAGTTAAGAGAAAAAAAAAGAACAAAGGGGCAAATTGTGTGATTTTATTTTTTTTTCATGACTCTCAGTGCTTAGACCTGAAACACCTTAACTGTTTGTGACAGCTATGCAAACAGCTGCTTTCCTTATCTTCAAGCTCCAGGAATCGGGTGCTATTATTATAATTGCTGCTTCAGTAAGAAGGGAGACTGGGCAAGATGTCAAATGGAAGAGAAAATGTAAAAAACCCCACAAAAACGGAGTAGCACTGACAGCAGATAGAAAGGAGGCCACAGGAGGCCGTGGGGAGGATGAGAAGATGAAGGCGGGTCCCTGGAAGGGGAGGCTGTTTGGGGGAGTGGGCAGAGCAGAGGGACGGCTCAGGTGAAGGAAGACTGAGTTAGAGGGGGGCCAGGCCAGGAGAGGGCCCACTGGCCTTTTTTCCCCTTTGTCCCGAGAGAAAATTTGGGGTCCCTAGCCCAGCCATGGCCCTGGGCTCCAGAGATGGTGCTGGACAGAACTGGGTGGGAGGCCCAGCCTCCTCCGGCTTTGGACTCTGCCCACAGGTTCCCAGTGAACTCAGGAGACAGGCCAAAGTGCAAGCAGATCGGATCCATCTTGTCCTCCAGGAAATGCCCGCTTCTGTCTGCCCCTGAGAGCGACTTGTTTGCCACAGATACGTGAGTAGGAAGAGGATCCTGCCTCTCTGCAGCCGTGTGTCTGTGTCTGTGCGTCCAGGGGGGCCAGGCTTTCCCAGCTCTGCCCATGTGAGCACTTGCACATGTCCCTGCTTGTGTGCGTGAGCAGGTACGCGTTCTTGTGCCTGCCTCTGGGTACGTGAGCTTAACCAGGCTACCCTTTGGATAGGGGAGGGTGCTCCCCAAGGGGAAGAAAAAGAGAGGGAACAGGAGTGGAGAGAGATGGGGTCTTAGCTAGGGCTCGTATTTACAGATGGGTTTAAGACTATGAACTGAGCTTCAGCCAAACGAGGACTGCATTGGCTCTTGTAATTGAACAGTTCAGGGGTGGGACTGGTTTCAGGTATAGCTGGATCCAGGGAATGGAGGGATGGATCCTGATGGAGATGCTGTCTTTCCATCTGTCAGTGGTGGGAAAGTACACTGCAATGAAGATGTTCAACACCATGCGGACATGTTGTGGGGCGTGAGAAAGCTAGGGCCTCTCTTCAGGAAGACGCCTGGATCAGATACATGCACATGCCTGTTTTCCTTCCCGTGAAGCGGGCAGAAGGTGCCCGGCTTCTGCCTGGCTCCCCAGGTTTACAAGGCTTGCCTCCCACAGGTTCAGAAGTGAGGGCCGGAAGGGCCGTTCCCCGGCTCTGGGCACCAGCAGGGCTGAGCTCTGGGATGGGATGAGCAGAGCCACGTCTCCCCTGCCCCCGCCCCCGCCCTCTCCCTCCCCATCCTGACCCTTCCCCCGGCCCCTCGCCTGGGGCCTGCCTGTCCTCCTTTCAGCTTTGGGCTCTTTGTCTTTCAGCTGGAAGGTCCTGCACATGGAGGACAACATTCCAAGATGGAAGGAGTCCATCTCGCTCTCATCTGTGGCCAATGGTCTGGAGAACATGGGGGCTGAGTTCTTAGAAAGCATGGTCTGTCCCCTCTCACCTCCCCCTTTTGGGCCCCTGGTGGGAGGGGCCTCTTTCCATCGGCTTCCTCTCTGCCGCCTCATCACCTGTTTGCTTGAACACCTGGGAAACCCCAGTGTGTCAGCCTCCTCAGCACAGAGCAGCCCCCCATTCCATGCACAAACATTCCTTGCACACCTGCGATGTGCCAGCACAGCCTGCCCTAGTCTGAACAGTCACGGAGGGTCCAGCAGGGAAGGGACATCGAGCTATGACTGATAAGGAGAACCACGCCATGGGGCTCAGGAGGGGTTCCCGGGCAAGGCCCCGCCTGTGAGGAGCTAGCGGTCGTGTCCTTGCTCTGGAATGGCCAGGACAAGGCCCCCCACCCAGAACCTGGAACCCTAAATGACAACCTCTTCCTCCCAGCCTCTCCTGACAGAGCCTCCCTCTTCACACTGCACCCCAGGGGCCACTCTCACCCTGCAGTCTGTAAAAATAAGCTCCTACATACTGGCCACAACCTGGGGGCGTGGGGGTGCAGATGGTGCTGGGATCCAAGCCGCCCGCCCAGCCACAGCTGAGGCACGCGTCCCTTCCTCTTGCAGCCCTGAGCTACCCGAGGGCAGCATGAGTCCAGCTCACAGCAGGTGCTCACGGTGCGCTTCGTGGGGTTTGATTAAGCTGACCTCTAACTCCTTCCCGTGTGGAAGGTCAGCCCCAACCCTGGTCCACTCCTGAGGTGGGCACGCTGGGAGCACTTGGGTCTCTCCCCGCTCCAGGCCCCCAGCTCCAGTCCTCACTGGGGCGGGAGGCACTCTCTGGTCACTCTCTGGTGGCTTTAGGAGGAAGGCCGGACCCCTGGCAGCAACAACCCAAGCCCCCCAGAGGGAGGCGACAGCTGGAGCGAGGCTGGCCCGGAACCCTTGTCAGGATGGTAGGTGGTCTCCAGGAGGGACGTGGGCTGGTCTGGGGAGGCCACCATGGGAGCAGGGCTGGGGAACCTGGCCTCCTGACAGATAGGGAGGGGGGCTTCCCAAGCCTTTGCAGAAGAAAGGTGTAGGTGTGCTTTATCCGGCAGAAGAGCTCTGCCCGCCTCTGCGTCAGAGGCGAGCCAGCCACAGGTGCCCAGCCTGCTTCAGAGCGGCCAGAGGGAAGCCCCGCAGAGCCCCAGTGTACACTGCCCTGGCCCAAGTTGGACGGGGGCCCTGAACCAACCTGACCCTCTGTGCCTTCCACCCCATTCAGTCTTTAGGGGCACCAGGGGGAACTCTGAGTCTTACTTTGAAAATCCCTAGACTGGGCCAGACCCCTCATCTCACGTGTGGTCCCCCAGCGCAGCCTGTGGGACCCCAGAGGCTATTCAGGAGCCAACCTCTCCTCCAGAGATAGACAAGTAACCAGATATCCAGGCAAGACCTGGCATTGGCGGCAGGCCTGGAAGGCAGCAGGGGCATGCCATGGCTGTGGGCACCGGTGGGCTATTCGCACAGCCACTTGCTAGAAGGAGCTGCGGACTCGGATGACGGGTCTCCCAGGTCCCAGCAGAGTAAATGCAGAGCCAGGAGCCTCCCCACCTGGCAGGTGGACACGGAGCGGGAGGGGTGCTCCATGTGGTCTGCATGTTTCTGTATGATGACAGGTGCTTCCTTATCATCTCAGGGAATTCCTTCCAGCCCTGGAGGCAGGGTGATCCCTGTGGCGCTACTCTAACCAGGGTTCAGAGCCTGCAGACGGGCAGGAGCCGGGCATGGCCCAAGCCACTGCTCAGTCTGCTCGAGGCTGGGGTTGCCCTTTAGGCCTGTGGGATGTCAAAGCTCGTGCCTGCCTCACCTCATGACAACATTTTACTGGGGTCGGACCTGAATGGCTTCCACCTGGAGGCACTGAGAGCCCCACGGACCTGCTTCACCTCCCCAGGAGGAGCCTGCGGCCAGCCCTGAGGGCGAGACGCTTCTGCAGGGCACACACACTGCTGTTTCGATGGATCTGCACAGGCCTGCTCTGCACTGGTGAGCCTGGCGCCCAGCCCCGACCAGGTGTTGGCACGCCCACCCCAGCCCCCCCGGCCCCACTACCCCAGTTTCAGCCACCCAGTCTCAGGGAAGGACGGGTCATTTATCCAATAATTCAGCAAAGGTCTGTGAGCACCATCCCAGAGCCCCCTCCCGTGCTAGAAGCCAGGCATCGGAAGGAAGCCCAGCCAGATCTCACCCGTGAGGTGCTCTCACGGGTGAGGGGTGTGTTAGTGACGGCGGACACTTGCTGTTTAGGGCCGAGGCCGGGAGTCCATAGGAGAAGGTCCAGGAGGCAGAAGTGACTGGGGAGGCAGATCCCGGGCATGGGGAGGGGGGACCCGGGGCCCAGGTGGGGGGCCGGTCTTCGGCCAGATCCTCACTGCCTCCCGTCAGGTGGGAGGTTAGCGGGGAGGTGGGTGCAGGGACCGTCACAGGCAGCCAGGGACAGAGAGGCAGGACGGCGGGGGCTGGGCCTTGGGAGGAGGCTGCAGGCAAACCATTCCCTGGGCGGGGGCTCGTCCTTGGACCCCGCAGCTCCCTCCCAGAGACAGCCAAGACAGGCATCTGCCCTCCGCGGGGGCAGAGACGGGGTGGGGGGGACATCTGCCCTCCGCGGGGCCAAACCAGGCCCTTCGCTCCCCCCCTTGCTCCCACCTTCACTCGGACTCGATCTGTTTCTCTTGCAAAAATGACTGAATCCTTCTAGTGGAAAGTGAGGGCTGCCGGTCTCGGCCTGCTTGCACTTTGGTCTTGCGCTTCGGAACCCAGCCTCAGCCATCAAATCCCCCCGCGCCCCGGCCGGCCTCGCCTTCCGCCGTGCTCAGGGTTCGCTCTCCCCTGGCTCTTCGCCCCCGTTATTGCATCACGTCCTTTGTGCAGAGGCCCTCCTCGGACTTCCCTGGAGGAGGCACGGGCGGGTAACCGAGCTCACGTTCTCAGCACCGCGGCCTGGGCCGTAGCGACGGCGTCCTCCCGACTCCGCGGTGCAGAGACGGCTGCGGCAGGGCCACACGCGCCCCCCGTCGCCGCAGACAAGGGTTCCTTCCGCTCGTGCTTCTGGCTGAGTCCTGGGAGCCCCCTGATCGGCCTCACTGAGGTCATGGGCCAGCCCTGGGCCCCAGGGCGCGGTGGCCTCCTGCCCCGGAGTGGGTCAGGCACCGCAGGACCACATGGGCTGAGAGTGGGCAGGGGCGCCCCAAAGGAACAGGAACACCCAGTCCCTGGGGGGGTGCATGGATCCTACAAGGATAGAAGTAATTTCCGGGGCACGTTTCCCCTGCCCTGCCTGGAGGGCTGGTCCACACGGCCCCCTCGCCTGCCCTGCGTGGGTCCTGCCCCGAGTCCCTGCTGGCCGCAGGCCCTGAGGCAGGCAGACCTGGTTGGAGTCCTAGCCCGGATTCCTCCTGACGTCAGTCTCTTTATGTCCCTGGCCTCGGAGTTCCGTCTAAATGGGGATCACCAGTGCGCTGCCCCCCGGGGTGGGTGTGAGGGTCACCCTGCCCGCCCTCGCCGTCCCCCACAGCCTGGGCCTGCACCCTGGCACCGCCCTGGGTGCCTCTAAGTGACACCCAGACAGTAGGAACGCCAGTCCACAGACTGCTGTGTGAGAGAAGGGGAGCGGTTTCCTGTAACTTGGCTCATTTTCCACTTCAATTTTGTCACGCCCGTGAGTGACAGGGTCTGTTTGGACCGCCCGTTCGCCCTTTGTCCAGGAGTCCCCAGCGGTCCGTCCGCAGGGCCCCGCTCACCTGTCCCCCACCTCTGTCTGGTCCTCAGGGCTGCCCTGGCAGGTGGCCGTGGGGACGCCCGGTCTCTGTCGTGGGCCTGTTCCTGTCTCCGCTCTCTCCTCTTCCAAGCCCCCCACAGACATCACTGCTGCCGCCACAGTGTCTGCCGAGCCCTACAGAACCCCAGAAGCTTTCTCTGGCTCTGCCTGCCGAGCCCCGCGCGGCCGTTCCTCTCTCTGGAGTGAGCGGCCCCCCCGGGGCAGGGCTCCTCTGCTCCGGTGCCACCAGCCCAGCAGGGCTTTGCCAGCGAGTGCCCCGCCTCACCCCACTGCAGCCACTGTGCCTAAGGCTTTGGAATTCATAAGCCAGGGAGAGAGAGTTCCCCTCTGCTGTCTACTACCATATGCCTTTCTCTTTCTTTTCCCCAAAACAGTTTTTTAAATTTTATAAAATGTATGTCACAGTGTTCAACAGTCCCCC